CGTACGGCGGGCGCAAGGAGCCGTACCCAAACCACGTGACGGGTTTTTGGCGGATTTGGACCCCCCCCCCCCCTCCCCCTTGTGGTCTCTAGAGAGCCGTCTGAAAGGTAAAAAATTTGCGGCACAAAAACTCTGAATGTAGGCAACCGACAGTGCATCGCTCCCACCTGTCCGCTGGAGCTCAATCCGCGCCTGCGATAAACACCGGTTCTACACCGATGTATCTCCGGACCGGACGTACTCCGAACTCAAGGAGTACTCCTTCGCTCCATAAAACACGATCATCGACCCCTCACACCCCTCACGCTTTTGTCTGTAGAATTGTACGTTCACAGTGCCTCGCAAACCTTGCCATCATTCTCGCATTTTAGTAGTTATGCGGCCTACGCTGCTCGATTTGGTTATCTGGCTGATCTGAGTGTCGCTCCGTGTCGCCCGGCTAAGCGATGATGCTTCGTGGTCCAGCCGCTCGTGTCAGTTTCACAACACCAACTGCTCCCAATTTTTGTGAAACAAAAGTAGAGCTAGCGGAATGTCTTTCGCGGCGATGAAGCTCGGCACTGAACTTTTATCCGCGGCGTTTTTTGACACCACCCCGTCCCACCGCCCTGCCGCTCTACCGCCACGCCCAGCCGCTCGCGGGGTTCCGGGCCCGGCAGAGGAGTGCGACGAAGATGGTCTCCAAACTGGATCGGTATAAAAGACTGATCCTGGCGGGGGTGAGGCACAGTTCTTCGCTCCAGTTCCAATCAGGAGCATCTCCTCTCTTCTCTCTCCTCAACTCCAGAGCTGCAGCAGCCGACATGAAGTGTCTGGTAATTTAAGTAGATCTGATTGAAAATACTCGAATTAAACGCACGCTTAGCTTTCACCTTACCTCTTTTCATCTCTTCTTCGAGTTGTGGATGACGTTACCCCTCCGCTCTGTTCGCAGGTCGTCGTCTTCATGGCCGCGGTGGCGGTGTCCGCCGACGTGCGCGACGTGCTGCGTAACTCGCGGCAGGCAGTGCTTCTGCAGCCGCAGCAGCTGGGAGGACTGGGGGGACTCCAGTTCCAGCAGCGACCGCAGCAGGTGCAGCTGCAGCTGCCACAGCCTCTGTTGCTCCGCCAACAGCAGGGCCCCCAGATCCAGTTCCAGGACCAATTCCAGCCCCAGCAGCAGGTCTTCCAGCCCCAGCAGCAGGTCTTCCAGCCGCAGCAGCAGGCCTTCCAGCCCCAGCAGCAGGTCTTCCAAGCCCCGCAGCAGGTCTTCCAGGCCCCGCAGCAGGTCTTCCAGCCCCAGCAGCAGATCCTCCAGCCGCAGCCTGCCTTCCAGTCCGCTCAGCGCAGCGAGCCCTTCTGGCGCATCCTCAAGCACACCCAGGAGACTGACCCCGCCGGCTTCTACCGCTTCAGGTGAGCAGACTCAAACGCCTCGCTGTAGATTTGTCGTGGGCGCCTCGGATCATCGCTCCGATGTCGATACCTATGGTATTCTTAACGCGAATCTTGTGCTTCCGCAGCATCGAGACTGAGAACGGCATCCGCCACGACGAGGAGGGCACCGTCAAGAACGCTGGCGGCAACAACGAGTCCACGGCCAAGCAGGGCGCCTACTCGTACACCGCCCCCGACGGCACCCCCATCTCCCTGAACTACGTCGCCGACGAGAACGGATTCCGCCCCTCCGGCGAGCACCTGCCCACTCCTCCCCCGATCCCCGAAGCCATCCTCCGCTCCCTGGAGCAGAACGCCCGCGAAGAATCCCAGGGCATCAACTACGAGAAGAAGTAGAACATCCTCCTCAGGTCTCCATAATTATTTTTTCTGTGAAAAAATGTTACCCTTGGCTAAAACCGGCAAGCATCAACTAACTATTTAATTGAGCGCTACACCTAGGCCTCTAGTCGTTTTCGTCGCCTTCATTCTCGAGGGCTCCAATGAGATGCAGGGCGCGGCGGCCAAGCACCAGGACCCGCCCAGCGCGACGCTGATGCGATCCCGATAACCAGTTTCCGTGGCCCGTCCCTCAGAGCAGGGTCCCGCCCCGCCCCTCCAATCCCCTGGTCTAGCTCCTCCGCGCCCATAAGTTGCCGTGTTCTATTCACGGCAGGTGACAGAGCAGGTCGGGAGTCATCGGCGCATCTCTTGCAAAACTACTGTGATGTGTGAGTGTGTGTGAGTGTGAATGTGTTCCTCCCCCCCTCCCCCCTTTTGGCCGTTGTCGGCGTTCTGTCGGCTTTTTGTGCTGTGTGTCCTTAGTGTGAGTGAGAGAGAAAAGAAACCGATCCAAATAAAATAGCCTTCGCCTCCAAAGAGACATCTTTATTCCGCTTTTATTTTCCTCACCTTTTCCGGCCCCCCGCACAGTAGTAGTAGTAGTGCTGAAAAAAAAGTGATGACGGTGCTGTGGCACTACCTCACGGTCCTCTTCTACGGTGCTGGAGACGAGGGCCATCGGGACATAAAATCAACTAGTTCTCTTTGCTAATAAGGCAGACTGCTTCTTCCGAAACATTGTTGACGACACGTGGCCGTCGGGGACGGTGACGAGGGCTCTGTCACTACTCCGCGTGGGCAGGGGGCGCGGGGGCGGCGCCGGCTCGCTAGAGGGCGCGCGCAAGCCCGCGCAAGTACGAGCGAGGAGCGGGACGACCTGACTGATGCTGATATGCAGCGGTGGCTCGGACTGCCGCCACAAATACACGCGCCCTGATGGGCTCTAATGGAGGGCGGGGGGCACAAACTCATCGCATTATATCAGAACCCACCCCGCCTACTCTGGAACACTGTGCAAGTTGTCGGTGCGGGCGGCTGGCGGCTAAGTCGCTGCCCGGGAACGACGTACTCACCGCCTTTTGTGGGTACCTGGAAATTGTGCAATGGCTTGCGTGCGCGTACACACACACACAAACCTTGCTTTTAGATGGCGCTGACGTACGTGTGGGTGGGAGTCTGAGATTCGGTGCCGGCAGGCACTTGGGGCAGCTTCACATTTACACATTATTTGGGCCTCACTTAAGTGGCGCATGATAGCTGCCATCCCGGACTCCACCTCGCCACCCGCCCCCGCCCCATCTGCGGCCGCTGGGTGGTGACGTCACGGCTCCGCTCACGTTCAGCGTAGGGACGTCCGCCGCCCGCGCGTAACCCCCACCCGGTGGAATACGGTGCAACCCGCAACACACTCGAAAATCAGATTAGCGCCTAGGGCAAGGGGTCGCAAACTCGCGGCTCCCGAGCCAAGCGCGGCTCACCTATCCCGGTAGCGCGGCTCGCCAAGAGCCGCGCACCTCTTAGGTTCGGCTATGGAGCCGAGGTTCCCGAAAGCCGCGCTCGGAGTGTATCGGGTGTGTCGCTCATTAAGTGCTATTAGGAGTGACATAGACAGACCCATGACGGCCGGCGAACGACACCACTAGCTCTGTCTCGCTCACTCTATATTTCCGAAAAGCTTGTGGGGCGTGTGGCCTAAGCGGGCGCGGCTCGGCTGATAGCTCGAGTTTGCGAGTTGCGTAGGGGGCAACATTATGAGGGAAATCCGAGATGGAGATCAGATTTGTGAACCTGTAGTACTTTAAGCATAATTAGTAGTTGGTGTCAGTGGCGAGCTGCTACAGAAAGTATTCCCTATAGAGGCTAGGAACCGGCTAGGAACAAACGAAGATCAAACAACACTCGGTTACTTATTTCAGCGTACTTCTTGGAGTGCAGACTTTATTTCTCGGGAAAAATTACTCATTGACTGATAGGGGTGCAGCAGCAGGACGGGAGATCGCCTGCACCGCACTAGGCGCTGCAGGCTCGAAATATAACGGTCTGATCCTGCTGCAGGTGCTGCCGGGGCTGGGCGCGGGGGCACAAGTCTTGGCCAGGCCGAGAAAAGTTGGACCTCCCACGGGAGGCCTTGCTTGGGGGAGTTGTGCGTCCTCCGGCAAACGCAAAGCCGCGCGCCGCGCCAAGCCAAAGACTAAGGCCAAGTCGGTCAGCGTTTCCTGCCGTTGTGTAGGGGCAAAGTGCCACCGCACTGCAAATAATCTGGGCTGTCCGTGTAACTAACTTGATATACCTTAAGTCGGCTGCCTGCTCCTAGGCAAGGGACCTTGACCTTCTAGTTTCCTACCTTACTGAATTTTTGCGTGCGATGTGGTCGTGGTCCCAAACTAAACGCTATGAATTGTAACGGCATTAAAGCAGAATTGGTCCACCAGAGTCTCAAAAAGAGAGGCGGTACTCATTGAAAGATAGTCCATGAATAAAATGACAAATCGCAGAAATAAATTTGTTTTATTCGTGTTGGACTTTGCTTCTTTGTTTGGAATTTCCCCAATGTAAGTTGACGAATGCATGGACACTTCGCTCGCTTCAAAATTTAAGAGTGGCACTTGGGGCGGTCCCCTTGTAAGCAAGAGTACGCCCGTCATTTTCTGTAACGAAATTGCGAAGTTCAGCCCGTGCAAGTTCCCGTGTACGTGTAGCGCCTCAACATCTTGCCTGCAGTGCATGCGTATACCTGCAAACCCAAGTGTGTGCTTGAATGCAGTATCTCCTGCGTACCTACATGTATGCGAGGTCCTGTGTACTTGGTCAAGTATGCAGGAGATAGTGTGTAATAGGCCACTACAAGTCTTTTTTTGTGGATGTAACAATTCAGTGAAGAACATGCAAGCATAGCGATTATTTCCTTTTCAACCTTAAATATGACATTTTTTGACTTTTATTCGCTTGTATTGCAATTTTTAGCTATTTTTTTTTATGTTTTGCTGTTGGCAAGGGGGGTTTTGGAATTTGGACGTCCAGGGGGAGGACGGGGGTACCCGTGAACCGGACTCAACCGGCCAGGGGGGAGGGGGAGGGTCATTTTCGGCAAAAACTACCGGACGGTCTTTATGGATGGCCCCTAAGTTGTCGAATTCATTCTGAGAAAAACGAACGTGTGAACGAACGCTCCGGGCGATCCTTATAAGCCGAGCTGCAAGTTTCGTGAAAAAACAAAAACAGGATGCGATTACCATTACCATCACACCCCAAAGAATAAAACAAATGCCCCACGTTAAGCAGACTACACTTGCTCCGAAGGCCATTCTCCTGGGCCTGGCCTGGAGATTGTAGCTGGACTGGTACGAGCCCGGCAGCTACTCAGGCTGGAGACGGGGTCGGGCCGGGTGCATGCTCTTCTCTGCCTCGCTCAGGACGCCGCTGCACGCTGCACCCCGGCACTAACCCCAGCAGCACGCGCGTACGCTCTCGCTCCATTCCGTTTCGAATTGTAGCGAACCCACCTCCCCTTCCTCTTGCCGTCGAGGGCCGTTTCGGAACACTCGTTTCCGGGAGTGCAGGTTGTGTGCGGAGTTTGTATGGAAGCAGAGCAGCGTCCAATGTCCGCGTCGCCGAAGGCGGTCGTGTACGTTTGTCATCAGCGTTTTGTGGACTCACGGGGAAAGAAGTGTGTACTGATGATACGTTTGCAGTGTGTTTTGGTTTTTTGCTGCGTGAGCAAACTTTGTCACTAATATTTTTGCTCCTCTCGATAATTATTTCGCTGCACACTCTAGCATCAAAATCAGTTTTCTACTTGCAAGACAACATTTTAATTCTTTACTGCTGAAGCAAACGCAGAAAAACGAAAAACTAGCAATTTTTGTTTCACCTTTGTTTTGCAAACGCTATTTTTGTTACGTGCTGTGAAAAGCTTGCGGTAACGATTGTGGCTGCTTTGTAGTTAAACATCATTTTCGACATATTCCTTTATTTTGTAATTGGATAAAACATGTAAAAATTTAGGAGCTCGAGCACGGCACGGTAAAGTAGTGCATTGTCTTGTCAAGCCATAATTGTCACTGTCGCAGCCTCTGGTCGCATAGCGCGCGTCACGTGTCCCTGGTGCCAGTTTGGCTGCCTAGCCCCCCGGGGCCGAAGGTGTCGCGCCGGGGCCCTAGTGGAGCTCCACTTCCCAGGTGTGTGTCCCACTCAGAGTCCTACATCGCCCCCGCAAGGACGCGAGGGCCCCGCGGCTTGAGGTGTGGATCCCTTCCCGCGGTGTCGCGGC